GCTTTGAAGCAAAAAACATGTTGATGTCCTCATTAATACCTTCCACATTTGCAAACATATTCCCATTAAGATGGTGTTGCAGCAAATGAAAAAAGGGTGGTAATCTGATGGTGTCATATCTGGAGAATATGGTGGGTGGGGAGAACTTCCCAACCAAACTTCATAATCTTGTGTTGCATCAAATGTGCCACATGTGGAGGTGTATTGTCGTGAAGAAGAAGAACACCTTTCCGATTGACAAGAGAAGGGTATATTTGATAAAGAGCTTGATGTATACGTCCCAGTTGCTGACTACAGATCTCTGCATTGACGGTTTGCTGTGGATTAAGGAGGTCATAATGAATGTCATACCAAATACAAAGCATCACTTTCTGTGGAAGGAGTACAGGTTTTTGGGTCGGAAGTGGTTTTTGTCTAGGACTGAACCATTGTTTTCGGCATTTATAATTCTTGTTTCCTTTCTTGTATTCAAACAGCATTAAATACTGATTGTGTGTCTCATTGTGTTCCATCACTGTAAGGGATTAGAATATACTAAACTTTACAAATTATATAGGTCATACTAATGTGACATTTAAGTGGTTTGTTTAACTATTATACTTGTTGCAAGTTTTTTGGGGGGTGCTTAATGAAACTGTTCCAAAACCAACATTAATTTCTTGACAACCTAATACAACTAGAAGTTAACTATGGATGCAAAAAATTTAATCTGTGGAATGTACTTCCCAAGCAATTCTGCATTCTAATCATCTTTAGGTGATTCAATGACTGATACACAGACAAAACAAAAAATACTGCATACTAATCATCTCTAGGTGAGTGAATAACTGATACACAGACACACCAAGCAATGCTGCATTCTAATGCATCACTAGGTGAGTCAAGGACTGATACACAGACATATCAAGCAATACTGCATTCTAATCATCTTTAGGTGAGCCAATGGCTGATAGAGAAACATACCAGGAAATATTTCTTTTTGATGCATCTCTAAGCGATTCAATGACTAATACACAGAAATACCAAGAAATACTGCATTCTAATCATCTCTAGTTAAACCAATGACTGATATTCAGACATATCAGGCAATACTGCATTCTGGTGCATCACTAGGTGAGCCAATGACTGATACACAGACACACCAAGCAATACTGTTTTCTAATGCCTTTCTAGGAGAGTCAATGACTTGTACACACACATATACCAAGCAATACTGTGTTCTAATCATCTTTAGGTGAGCCAATGACTGATACATAAACATACCAGGAAATAATTCTTTTGGATGCATCTCTAAGCAATTCAATGACTAATACACAGACATACCAAGAAATACTGCATTCTAATCATCTCTAGGTGAGTCAATGACTGATACACAGACATACCAAGAAATACTGCATTCTAATCATCTCTAGGTGAGTCAATGACTGATACACAGACATACTAACAAATAGTACATTATAATGCATGTGTAGGTGAGCCAATAACTACTACACAAACATACCAAGCAAAACAGCATTCTGATGCATCTCTAAGTAAGCCAATTACTAATTCACAGACATACCAAGCAATACTATATTCTAATCATCTCTAGGTGAGCCAATGACTGATACAAAGACTTAGAAGGCAATAGTGCATTCTGATGCTTCTCTAATTGAGCCACTGACTGATACACAGTCATACCAAGCAATACTGCATTTAATCATGTCTAAGTGAGACAATGACTGATGCACAGACTTATCAGGCAATACTGCATTCTGATGCATCTCTAGATGAATCAATAACTGATGACATACCAAGCAATATTACATTGTAATCATATTTAGGTGGGCCAATGACTGATACAAAGACATAGAAGGAAATAGTATATTCTAATCATCTCTAAGTGAGTCAATGACTGATACACAGACATACCTGGCAATACTGCATTCTAATCCATCTCTATGTGAGCCAATAACTAACACACCGACATACCAAGCAATATTTCATTCTAATCATCTCTAGGTGAGCCAATGACTGATACACAGACATACCTGGCAATACTGTATTATAATCCATCTCTAGGTGAGCCAATGACTGATACACAGACACAACAGGCAATACTGCATTCCAGTGCATTTTTAGGTGAGTTAATGACTGACACAGAGACATACCAAGCACTATTGTATTCTAATCGTGTCTATGTGAGCCAATGACTGATATACAAACATACCAAGCACTATTGTATTCTAATCGTGTCTAGGTGAGCCAATAACTGATATACAGACATACCAAGCACTATTGTATTCTAATCGTGTCTAGGTGAGTCAATGACTGATAGCTACACCAAGCACTATTGTATTGTAATCGTATCTAGGTGAGCCAATGACTGATATATAGACATACCAAGCACTATTGTATTGTAATCGTGTCTAGGTGAGCCAATAACTGATATACAGACATACCAAGCACTATTGTATTCTAATCGTGTCTAGGTGAGTCAATGACTGATAGCTACACCAAGCACTATTCTATTGTAATCGTGTCTAGGTGAGCCAATGACTGATATATAGACATACCAAGCACTATTGTATTGTAATCGTGTCTAGGTGAGCCAATGACTGATAGCTACACCAAGCACTATTGTATTGTAATTGTGTCTAGGTGAGCCAATGACTGATAGCTACACCAAGCACTATTGCATTCTGATCGTGTCTAGGTGAGCCAATGACTGATAGCTACACCAAGCAAGTTCATAATGGAAGAGTTCATTTCATTTCTATGTAACTTTATGAAACTACATGTAATAAACATCATAATAAAAGTAAGATATTTCCCAAATAGCTGGAGTACCCATATCCCTGGACGAAGTTATGTAAATTCATGATTAATGAAAGGTTATCTCAGGACATGAAAAGTTGCTTCCCTTATATGTAATTGTAAAAAATACAAAAATGCCCATAAACTCTGCAAAACACAAAATGTGAAACCAAATTTTTGCATTATTCTCCATATGTACCTAATGAGCCTCCATAACAACTTGGGTGAAGATCCATCTATACCCTGTGAATTAGTTACGTATACAGACAGTACCATTATATATATCTAGAGATACTTAAGATTTGATTGAACTGTTCCATACAAGAGACTAACTCTTTTTAATAACTGGTTCCCAGTGTCAAATCATTTTTTCGAACAAGTTGAGTTTTCTAGGAGGTATGAAAACAATAACTTTTCATGCAAGGCAGGTAATCATACCTAATGAAAATAAAAGTATTGAAATAAATATATGATTTAGTTTACAGCACAATGTTCTGAGATCTCAAAGTTGCTCACTGGGTCTTCCAGAACTGATGTTCTGAAACTCCCAAATTTTCAGTTTTTACAGATTAGTGGAGGGGCTGAACTGCTACTATGTATGAACTTCTTCAGTTCAAACAGATTGATATATAAAGGTTGGGACCATAAGTCTCAGGAAATTACTTCCTATGATAGAGAATTTAAAAAATCCTATAAGATTAAAATATGGAAGAATTATGAATCAATTCAGCTTTGGCACATCCAAGAAAGAACAACAATCTTCTTTGCAATTTAGAATAACAAACAGAGGGAGCGTGTGCTATATATTCTCATATAAAATCAGCAAAATGTTACATTGATAAATAATCTACTCCCCACACAAATTAGCTCTTAAATCCATGAAAGAATTTACCTGTGCTGAGTACTTAAGAACCAAATATTAAAGAAAATGTGTTCGTGCATATTTCAAAATTATACATAAGCTTTGAGAAGTAACTCACCTTCTTGGGTAGAATTTATTTCTCTTAAAATGTTTACCTTGTGAAAACATTTTCTTTATGATGATATTCAATTTATAGATAGTCTTACAATAGTTCATTTATTTCCTGATGAGTTGGTAAATCCTAACAAAAGATTTATTTTTTTAATTTTTCATCCAGTATGGAGATAGATGCAAAAGGCTCTATACAGTTGAGTAGGTGTTCGTTACTCAGTAGTTGCATATTTAGAGAGATCTGAATGATTTGATATTATCAAGCTTGTAATGGCAAAACTGTTAAAAAGTTTGTAAACATTATTTTTAATCATTAAACATAAGCCATCATCATGCAGTCATGACTATATAAGCTAGATTTTATTTGAATATAAAAACTACATTACCTTACTATGTAAAATAACTTCTTCCCACCTTATATATATATGTGTGTGGTATCACTTTTGGTTTAACATAGTTTTTATAAACATTATTTTTAATCATTAAACATAAAAAACTACATTACCTTCCTATGTAAAATAACTTCTTCCCACCTTATATATATTATTTTACTTATGGTTTACATGCAGTCAATTTAAATTGTTAAGGTCACAAACTCAAATAAACATTCAGTTTTACACAATAATAACATCATAATCCAAGGAAAAGAAAATACAAAAACAACACACTATCAAAATATTTTTACTGCATGTTGAACCAGCTACTAATCTTAATGGTTGAGTTCGATCTTAAACTGGTATTGTAAATAAATTTATGAATTGCCTCTCTGTGTCACTGCAGCTTAAAATCTACAAGTGACAGCAGTGAGAATATAATTTATTATTGAGGATACTAATATCAAAAGCTGTCATTAAACTCCATAAAGTGGCTCGGAAACAACAGTAAGCGATATAATAAGCAATTTTAATAAGCAAGACTTGAGTTAAGATCAATATATGCATAAAGTATAATAATTAGTATAAAAATCATGCCAAGTGAATCTTGCATTCAGTTTTGCTTTGCTCATCTATGTTGACTACAGTTTGAGCATGAAAACTTTTGAGGCTTCAAATACATACCAGCATTTCACGTATTTGTTCATGGGAGGACAAAATTCATCATTCCATTTTTCCCCAATGTAGCTTTACACCTGTATTTCTGTATATATATATATATATATA